AATTATACTAACTAAATTTATTTTACAAAAATAAGTATCCCAAAAATGTTAGTACTGATAAACATGCAAGAACCATCATCAAGAACTTGTAAAAAATATCAAGTTCTAGAAACGAAATTCTTTTCGAGTTTCATACAAAACTTTCTACCCTCTACATTATTCAACAAAGCTATGCGCCTCACCTTTTACGATTTAACTCTTCCCCGTTGAAACCATTCAAGATACAACATTAACAGAATTGTATTCACAGGGCTACAGAAGTGTGCCAATATATATATATATATATATATATTAGGACGCATACAAGATACAACATCATTTCTTTTTTTGCCTTTTTTTTGTGTATGTCTTGTGTTGCAATGAGGATAACTATATATTTGAGAAGGCGTCTTCTGGAATACGGAAACGGTTGGTATAAAGGTCATTATTTACGGCCAGACGTGGAGCAACAATTCAGCAAAACGGTGCAAACCTTATTTATTGTTTTCTGCTTCTTTTTTTAAGTAAGAGAATAAAGAATCTAATTGCTGGCCATTGGAGGGTGTCACGTCAGCTTTTACTTTTTCCTGCATTATATATATATATAGATTCGTATATGAATAATTTAAAATAAAATTAATAAAGTCACATTAACTATTCTTTTGATAATTAAATTTCTTCTTAAAATAAAATTCTAAATGCTATTTCTTCTTTACAAACAATTAATTAAATTGGCACTCACAAATCACAATATTTGGTTACCCCCATTTGAAAAAAAGTTGTTAAATTTCAAATTTATGTGTAAATAACTATATTTCAAAATCTAGATTCTTGATCAATGACTTTTTTTTATTAGGTTCAATTAATCTCATGCCTTTGAGCAACAAAATCAATTTTTAACAATTTTCTTAAAATATGTAAAATTTTCAAAACTTACTAATTTTCTGTTACACTATATGAACTTTGAATATTATATTGGTTAGAACATTATGAAATCAATCTACTTAAAGGACTTTCTTCTCTTGTGAGGTATCAGGTCATATAGCAAATCGATCAAAGAGAGAGAGGCAATAGCTATGGCACAATGTTTGAACAAGTACTAAGCTATGATTGTTTGAGTTTTTTAATTGTATAGATGGAAATTGTGTTGATGCTTTTTCTCTTTTCTAGTTATGTAATAATTAAATACCCAAGTTCATGTTTGTTATATTTTGGATGCATAAGAAAGGAAATTTGATTTGTGTATTTATCTTTATTCAAATCTATTTGATCTAATGTAACTTTTTATTTTTCCCCTTTCTCTGCTTTCCGTATCTATCTATCTATCTATATCTATGTATAATATAAAGGAGAAACATAGACTAGGTGATGTGGCACCTCTCTATGACCTCCATTTACATTTATTTTTTGTTTGGCTTTTTTTCTTATTTAAATTAATCATTTTATAGTAAAAGTAAATTACTTAATTTATTACAAATAAATATTTAATTGATTGATAAACATTTACAACAAACACTCCTCACATGCCAACTAATCATTCATAACTTCCACATCTCTAATTCTACTCTTAATAAATTTATTTATTTATTCTCTCTTTTTTTAGTCTAATTTTAATTATAAAATGACAACATATTTTAAATATTTCTCTTTATTATTTAACTTTTTACAATGAATAATTATCCATGAATTACACTTTTCAAGTTTTTACTTTTAATCTTTATCTATATGTAATAGAAAGTTATATATATATATATAAGGTGATATAACACCTCTCTATGACCTAATGTTTTTTTTCTCCTTTTAAAAAAACTTCCCCCGTCTCATTTTTCTCTAAAACCATTCCGTTAATTTGATTCATTTTGATTTGCCTCAGTAATTAAAACTAAAATTCCCTATATAATATTGTAACAATAAACGGATGAAGACTAAGGGTCGAGATGAAAGTAATTGAAGAGAATAGACAATTTAATTTATATATAATGTGACATATGGTAGTTAAATGGAGAATTTAAGAAGAATATGAAGAGGCATAAACAATCAATAATGATAGCTAATTATTGTGTATTTATTTCTCTGTAAATTTAACCCAAGAAAATTAATGATAAATAGCTAAAATAGCTATTTCTTCACATCACAGCCAATGATGAATATCTTCCAAGCATCCTACTTGCTACTGTTACTTTTGAATGCTTGAATTTTGAGTCTTACAATTTGGTAATTTGTGGAGTATTATTGATATGATTTTTTTATATTATATGTTATTTGCATGATTATAAAATAGAAGTGATTGATTTTCTTGATTGTTTTTTTTCTTTTTCTAACATCAGGTGCTTGACAAAATAAGATATCATCTATCGATATTCAGTAAACTTTTTCCTCTTTTTCTTAGTGATTTCTTGACTATATATTTAGTTTTATGATTTGATAATTTGTGGATTATTATTTATATGATTTTTTTAATTATATGTTATTTGCATGATTATGAAATATGAGTGATTTATTTTCTTGATTGTTCTTTTTTTCTTCTTCTAACATCTGGTGTTTGACAAAATAAGAGATCAACTATCAGCATTCGGTAAACTTTTTCCTCTTTTCTTAGTGATTTTTTGACTATGTATAGTTGCATAATTTTGAAATAGAGGTGATTGATTTTTTTATTGTTCTTTTTTTCTCTATTAACATCAGGTTTGACAAATTAAGAGAATCAATATTTCGTGAAATTTTCCTCTTCTTTTCATTTTCCTTTTCGGCATTTTTGAGAGTAAAAATTTGTGTTAGAAAAAAAGAATGAAACAAAAATTAAAATAGTCATAAAAGTAAAATCAACTGAAATATTTTTGTCAAATTTATGTTGAAAACAATTTTTGATGTTGTCCTTTTGAAAAACAATATTAGTGGCAATTAAAATTTCAAGTCGTTTTTATCGTTTTGAAAATTCAAGAATCAAACGAAAACTGCAAAGTTATTTGTCAAAAAAAATCAATTGGGAGAAGTATGTATTGTTTACCTTATTTTCTTTCTATTAGTATGTCTTTTTTTGTTATTTATATTGTTCTATCATTCGTTTCATGTCATTCAATTCTTAATTTATCAATTTCATATATGTTTATGTTTAATTATGAAATATGGTACCAAGATTATTATTGTAATTAATATAGTGGTTAATTAGTTGCAAAAATACAATGATATTAAATGTGATTAACTATAACATTTACTTTGACAAGATTTGCACAAAAATAAAATATTGGATAATTTAGATAAATAAAATATATTATTTAGCCTATTATTTATATGAAATTGTTTTAAATATTTTGCAATCAAATTTATACAAGGGTTCATTTTCAATTATAGTCTTAATATATGATGATCTTCATTTTGTTTCCTTTTTTCCGTTCATAATTATTTTATTAAATAATTAATTTTAAAGGTAAAATAAAAAATTAATTAATTTTAATTTGATTTTGCTAATGATAAATATTTTGGGACAATCATTTTAATAATGTTGATAACTAATAAAAATAGATAGAATATTTTTCTTCCTTTAATTTTGTTCAGTCAACATATTTTAAAAACTCAAATAGTACTCTTTAATGAATTTCTTTAAATACAGCTTAATTAGAAACACAAAAGTTATTACAAATTAAGAAAAAGAAAGGTACTACTAATTAAGAGTGCATTAACTATTGCAATCATAAATTTTCTATTTATTTTATTTAAATGTTAGAAATGTTTAAATTTATATTATTTCCATATTTCCTATCCTTGGTGTTTCGCATAAGTTAATTTGGGCTTAGATGACATTTTAAGAAACTCAATTAGACATGACAAAGATAAAATTCTTTATGTATTTATGAATGTTTTTCATTTAGTTTTTCTTTAGTGGACATACTCGTCTTATTATGTCATTTTTCTAAAATTTAATTGTGAATCAAGTCTTTTATATTTTATTTTTTTTGTTCCTCCCATTATCTTGGAAAGATTGTTCCTTTCTTTTTGAAATGATGTCCGATAAAAAAAAATATATTCATTTCATGTTTGACGTTGTTATATTCATATAGCTAAACTGGTTAATAAATAACTAAACAATAAAAACATTCAAAGTGTCAAGGTGGAGATTATTATTAAAACAATCGATGCTTAAATTATTTATGTTTGATATATGTATGGGTTATTACTAACGAACAACAAGGTCTTGATCTCAAATAGTAATTTATATGAATACAAAATTATATTTTGAATTTTTTTACAGAAGAATTTTGTAGTAAAAAGTTGTTCATCATTTTAAAAAAAGAGTTACTGAGGACCGCGCGAAGCGCAGCCAAATTTACTAGTGTAATAATTAAATATCCAAGTTCATGTTTGTTGATATTTTTTAACCAAGGGAACCATTTCTCTGCTTTCAGTATGTAATATAATTAAATACCCAGCTTCATGTTTGTTAATAGTTTTTAACCATTTAGCATTGTGCTAAATGGAAATAAATTAAAATTTTGGCAAAAAAAAAAATTCTCCTTCTCTTGAGAATGCCTAATCCTATGTTTAGGGGTGTCAAGTGAGCGAGTTGGATTGAAATTAGAGATAATAAAATGGGTTGAAATAAAAATTAGGTTGGATCATGACCCCGCCAAAATTTATTTTGGGCTCAATGGGCTAAAAATGAATTGTAATAAAATGGCATGAAATAAAATGGAAAAAATTTCAAAATGTCAATATTTTATCATTTAATAGGATCCCTTAGCCACATTTTCAATATTTATTAAAAGTGTCAAGGAGAAACATGCAGCGTTTCAATGAAAAAACTGTTAAATTATTGTTGGATACTATCAGAGTATATAGATACCATCATAATATATAAATACTATTAGAGTGTATATATACTCTGATGGTATCAAGGTTGAAGAAGCAATGGTTCAGTGAATAGAACAAGCAGACGGTTAGGTAAATAACTTGGACCGTGGGTCCATTCAGGTAAATATATTGGGTTGAGTCCAATTTGAATAAACAGTTTGCCTAATGGGTTCAATTTGTGTAGTTTTCCCAATACAAAATTGTTAGAACTTGAAACCAAGGTTGTAATATCTCTTTTCACATTTATACACAAAATTTAGCATTTAAGATTCAACTATATTTCCCAGGTGCAGAAAATGTACAACTACTTTTGCTCTTCTACCACAAGCGAAAGTATTTCAGTTGCACAAAAAACTTGCAGCAATCACTCATCAGCAGAAAGGGGTACCAATTTACATGCAGCAATAGATTCCAGAATCCAAGTATGCTGAACGGTCTGAAAACCGATTTGCTTGGCTAGATCCTCAGCTTCAGCTAATCTTTGCTGCAAAATACTGTTTTCTTCTTCAAACATGCAACCCTGCGGGACATCACAGTTGTATACGACTAGAGAAGATGGCTGAGTTCCCTGTGCAGAATGATTCTGTTTCACCAACTGCTCCTCACTCTGAATGACAGTGCCTCCAGCCTTCTCGACTAGATCTAACAGGTCACTTTTGTAAGCTGGCATAAAATCTCCAATCAAATAAAACTCGAAACCATCAAAAAGCTTTGGCGCCTGTAACATAAAGGAATAATTGTTTACTGGATACTAAAGCTTTTAATATGTCCCACCTCAGTTGAGAACCAGGAAAAAAAAATCTTTAGCCATCAAGCTTATTCACAAGGAATATAATAAACTAGTTTCTCTAGCTCTGCAATAACCAGATACTTACATTAGTTGAGGCCCTCAACCTTCCAGCTTTGGGGCCCCCAGAACGGCCATAATTGTCTAGACTTATTTCATAAAGTTCTTCATTTACTGGACCATTTGCTGCAACACAAGCTTTTACCCCTGCAAATAAACAAGTTCCATGGTAGGAGAATGGAATTAAAATAAAATAATCATCCTTCTTCATTAGACAGCTAACTAACTATTGACCCAGGCCAAGCAAACTATTTCCAAAAAAAAGTCCACGCATTCAAAGTGGCTCTGGAGAAGTCAAACATGTATTCAGGTATTTCCTGCTCTTCCCTCAACACCAAAACAACTTATTCTTATATCCCCACACATTCTACTTTATTGCATTTCTTGATTCAATAGCGATTGAACGTTCACCCTCATTCCATGGAGAACCAAATGAAAAACCTGTCCCACAAACAATTTTATATAACAGGAAACAGTGCTTACAGTCCATAGTTAGGATCCATTTTCCACTCAAAATCGCCATGAGAACTTTCATTGTTCTGGTGCATGCACCCTTTACATCAGTTGTTGCAACAACATGTGTGACATTTGGTTTCCAGAACTTGCACACAGTTGCACCACACATATCAGCAAATTTCACCAACATATACTGCAAAATGTCAAAAAACAATACGATGGATTAATAATGTCCGAAATGCACCATTTTCGGCTAACAATTCCAAACAAAAAGAAGTTACAATTTTGTTTTACTTCAAAGGCTTTCTCAAAATAAAAGGGCATTAAAGTAGGCTAAAGTACAAAAACCATACAAGTAAACAAATAAAAGTAAAGATACTAAAATAAGTGGATCTTTCATACATTGCTATTCCCAGGACATGCATCAATGATCAACCAGGACTAGAACATCAACCTAACGTTGACAAACGTAGAGTTAAACCATCTATGCATGACCATGATAAGTTGACTCCTCTAGTATACCAGAGAGCTGAAATAATCAAATAAACAAAGGGTTTTTGACTGGAAACATGCCAATGGCAGTTCTCCATGTGACTTGTAACTGCATACATGATTGTAAGACTGATCAAACAGTCTTAAAATAGATACAAGGGACATATGATAGAACTAGCAGAGGATATAGTCACTGCAGAAAAGATAAACCAACCTTATCTTCTGAGGATAGAGCAGACCCACAAAGAACCCATTCTTTTGGTCCATCTGATGATCTTGCCCAAAAAGTCAATTGCTCGGTGGTTCTGCATGCACAATGGTCAAAAAGGAAGAGAGTTATGGAGTTGCTTATAGATGAGGACAATTCAGGACAATGACCCTCATATTCTAATGACTATACATATCACAATTGCCCTTTGATTTACATAAAAAAAATAAAAAATGATGTGTTATAGTATACAAGCAAGTTTTGTTATGTATTTCATGAATTAATATGAAGCTCTTCAACTAATAAACCCCGATATTATGTGGCTTCCTTCATGTAACAGAGCTTGATATCCAATATGTTCCAATAGATATGCTAGCTAACTTCTTGACAAGGGTATTACTTCATTCAAAGTCTAGAAGAAAGAGAAAACAAAAACATTTTCCCAATTTTACACTAATGGATAAATCATAATGGACTACTCAATTTAAGTATTTAACTAGACTATTAAAACCTAAACAGATACACATCTCTTCTAGTGTGCGTATGTGAAGATACTCCTATTAGACATACTAATACCTTAACAAGCCTCTTCTCCACATGACAATCAAATGAGATACACTTGCTTATCAAGAGCATAGTGAAACCTAATTATACCAGCAACTCGAGCAGTTCCTCTTACGGCTTCACTTAACAAATAGCAACATTGTGGATTCACTACATTTTTATGACAAGAGATACCAACACTTTGTCATTCAATCAGGGGTGGATCAAGGGTGAGGCTAGTAAAGTGTTTACCAGACTCTCCTTTTTTTGATTACTTCAAAGAGCAGATCTAAGTTCTGTCGAGCAATCGCTTGAAAAAGCCTTCTATAAGGCAGGCTGTCCCATAGTTCTCTATCTGAAGAGGTTTAGACAGTTAGTCATCTATTCCTAAAATGCAAGATAACTACACAACTGTGGAGGATTTTTGTTAGACTCAGGGGCATTAGCTGGGTCATGCGGTCATGCCTAACAAAATAACTCACTTGTTATATAGTTGGGAGGAAGCAGGAGTACGAGCAGCAGACAGAGACAGATGGAGAATTGTCCCAACTTGCATCTGGTGGACAATATGGAAGGAAAGGAGTTCAAGATGTTTTGAAAGCAAAAACTGTGACCTACAGATGATCAAACTAAACTGTTTGACTTTTTTGTTTCTGGTGCAAACAAATATACTTGAGGATACCGACTCAATTATAGACGGGTCTTGTTAGGATTTTGAGTCAGTTTTTTTGTCTTTTGATATTGTTGTACATATGGTTTCAGTGCAATCCATGTACTGACTTGTCAATATACACAAATGTTACCTTCTCAAAAGAAAAGAAAAAATAGGTGGTCCAAGTAGATTTTCAAGGATAATGGCTTCCCAAACGGATAGAGTGTTCCCCTCTAATCTAAGGCCTCTTAGCAGAAAGAGAGTCTTCAGTAACCCTGTCTGAATGAAGGGCTTCCTCTACCTTAAGTTCCGTTTGGAATTAGGCCTCCAGAATATCTTGTCCGAGGGAATTGACCTAAGCATAGCTCTCTCTCTCAAATACATATGTCAAGAAAGGAGTTCCTTGGATAAGTGGAAAAATGCTAAAAAAAATCTTTTCATTTCTCTTTGAAGGCTTTTGTCCTACTTATAGTATCAGTCCTCCCGCCAATACTTGTGTTTTTATTAACCAAGAACACATGCACTTTGTTGGCACTAAAAAAGGTTATTCAATCCACTAGTGCAACTGAAGGTGCGCAGCCTCTTTTGAACAACTCTCAACTTCACACGCACCTACTCTTACTAGAAGTCTCGTCTCTCACAGGTCTAATTCCGGTCTCTAACTAACTTACTTAATAGGCAAGGCAGGAAGAGAGACATTCAGAAAACCTGATTTCCTGTCTTAAAAATCTGACTCAAAAGATAAAAGTAGACCGAACAAAAGAGATCTCACTTTTGACGATTGAAAAGTGGTGATGCTCTTTGATTGCGTCCGCTTGCTTGATCATTTATCTTCTAGTTGTCCCCTAAGTCCCTTTCGCCTATTGAGTCTCAGTTTTGGATAGAGTCCATTACCTATCTTTCATTGTTTGAATGAGACTATATGATGTCCTTTCATCTCAAACAGAATGCAATAAGAGAGAAAGCTTAGGAAATCTCGTATGAAAAGGAGGCTATGGAGTATGGCCCCTACCCCTTCATTTATACGGTAGTTGCAATGCTCATTATCCCTTAGGGCTAGACCTCAGCCCAGATCATCCCTGGATGCTAGCGATCCTTTCACCGAACTCTTCAAAGAGGACACTGGTTTTCTATCTTTGAAGGGTTTACCAACAAACCAGAGGGTTAAGGCTCTCACCTTTTTTCAAATCAAAGAAAGAAGAGTCTTTTGATTCGGGCCTTTACCCACTTTCCTTTGTGAGGGAAGTTTGTGCAAATGAATCAATAGTCAAAGTATAAGGAAGATGGCATAGAGCATAGAATGAGATTGATGTTTGGAATGCCCCGTTTACTGGGGTTGTGATAGAAGGAGTTCTGGCACTTTCTGAAGAGGGAATCAAACTAGTGTGTCACTGTTTTAGAAGAGGAAGCGTAGCTGGCACCATGTTTGTCAACGGTGAAACAAAGCCTAGAGATAATATTTCTCAACTGTCGATCGACATGACAATCATGCCTTCTTGAAAAAGCCTTTTCCATTCCATCTCCAATTAAATGAAGAGAAACAAAGTTGTGCTCAACACTCTCTTTCATATTCCACTATGCTAAGTGGTCTTTGTCTTTCTTGTTGGATGACTACTATGAAAAAAGATGTCAACTACTCCAGTCTTTGGTTAATCCATGTTGATGCTAGAAGAGTTATTCATGTCGCCCACCCTAAGGACACAAGGAAGACTAACCACCATTTTGCTCAAACATTTGCTACCTAAGTTATATAGTTGACTGCGAGAAGGACGGTTCAAGCTATGGTTGCCCCATGGGATGCTCCCTTGAAACCTTTGTCCGGTCAATGCGAGAAAGAGAGGTGATGTAAACATAAGAATGGAAGGTTTGCTTCTCAGCTGTCGGGCCAATGATGCTCTTCTAGCTTTACCTACACGGCAAGGGAAGATCAATGGCAAGGTGAGAAATTCTCTGCACGAACTATCTTATCAAGTTCTCTTTTTTTTTCCATCACAGGCAGCTGTCAAAGCCGTGTTTGATCATCACCTACATGCTCCGTTACAGCTTCGTTCATACGTCAATCAATTGACAATGAAGCAAATAAGGAAGAGTTTTGATCACCATGTGGGTGGTCCCAATCAGGGTTTCCATTCCACGTGCACTAAAAAGAAAGGAAGACCGGTGCGACTATAGTAATGCCAAGCATACAAGCAAAGGACTACCTACCCCATATTGACGAATGAAAGAAGCTCTTCGCGGATGAGGACAAGCGATAGCGGTTCTATTCTTGCTCTTCCTATTCCATACCATAAACACACCTTTGATTCATCGACATTGGTGCTAGAGGCTCTATCCCCACCCACTAGCCCTTTATGGAGTTAGCGGACCAAGAAAAAACACCCCCGTTCCCACAGCCTCAAGCTCTAGCTTTCATGGTGGAGGGCTAAAAAGGAAGCTCTACCCACGAGAAAAGGGGTAATAGACTATTACCATTCAGTTCATGTGACGAATCGAACATCGTTAGGTCCTGAATTCTGCGAAGCAACAAATCTAAAGATCTCCATTACGTCGTACAATTTATCAATCCGGAGAACTTACTTTCAGTTTAAGTCATCTAATCTACTCCTATCTAAAGTGATGCTAGATTGCTTCATAGAGGTGCATTGCGCTCGACCACATGATGAACATGTTTAAGCTAAAAGGGATGTGATGGCCCTCGTCTTATCCCACCAAGACAAGTCAGCCTAAAACCCAACCATTACGATAACTTGTGGAAACAAAGCGATAATAAAAGTCCAATACTATAAAATAATGCGAAATTCGTAATCAACTTAAATATATCCCAAAACCTGGTTTCCATGTGCACAAGCCTCTAATGTATTACACTAGAATTGAAAGAAAAAATAAGTCTCAAATGATGTCTCTAAAATAGAACAAGATCATAAATAGGAGTAAGAGGGTCCGCTGAGATGACAAATAGCTACCTCACAAATCTCCTTAGGAAGCCTCGGACAAGAAGAGGAAAGGGAGTATCACGAAGATCAAATCCGGGCTAGCAACCTACAAAAATGTAGAAGCAAGGGGTGAGTATCATACCACACGGTACTCAGCAAGTAAACTTATAAACACAAGATAAGGGAGTAGAATACGTGTACTTACACCCCAACCGAACCTCTACAATCTGCATAAAAACCAGTCCAACCTAATAGTTCACAATTTAGCTATCCCATAGTTCAACGACACTCTAATAATAACAGATCAGCAACACATGGGGTCAAGTTCATCAATAACAAGTTTCACAATAGGCACTCATAAGTTCACAAATGATATAGATATGCAATACAATAAAATGCAATGCCAAGTATAGTGATCCATGTCTGACCTAACGATACACACGTTGTCTCTTAGTCCGAGACCCATGGGGGACATATCTGTCCATGCATCCGTCGCGGCATGACCCTCGATAGTAAAATCCATCACGGCGTGCAATAGGTCCCTCGATAATAGAATCCCCCGCAGCGTGCGACACGTCCCTCGAATCATAGTATCCATCTCGGCGCACGACACATCCCTCGAAATGGTACATCCTCTTTAATTTCTTATTCTTCCTCAGTTCACATAACACAACCAATGCAAATGACATGCTCACACAAATAATGAGGAGATGACCATTTTAATAACAATGCACCATTCACAACAACACAATCGTGATACAACATCAAAAATGAATCAATAAGCCTTTCGAAATCATTCTCAACACATCACACACCAAAAATTAATCATATTGCCTTTTATTACCCATTTCTCATACATTAGAATTATTCAATATGGACAAGTCAATCCATCACCAAGTCTCATTACTCCCAAACACATACTACAAGGAAATACACAATTATATAAACTTAACAAGAGTTTAGAAATCCACTTGCCTCAAACAATCGAGCAATTACTTCGGGACTTGAGTCTTACCCTTTCATAAGGCTTCCAATCTATCAAATATATAATCATCATAAGAATACGAATCTAATGACACTCATATTACTATATTTAGTTTTGGCTTGAAAATCGGGTCAAAAAGTCATTCCGAGCCACCAAATTTGAATTTGAAATTTTCTTTCAGATTATGTTTACCCATGATAAAAAAACTCGCATGCAAAATTTCAGCTAAAACGGATCGTTATTCGACCCCCAAACCAAGATTTTGTTCTAAGAACTCTAGACCTATATTTTCTTAATTTAGCATAAGTTATACACGTTTTTAACCTAAAAATCTGTTCATAATCACATAAAAATTTAATGGAAAGGACGAGAAGCATTACCTTAATGCTTTGGGATGAAAATTCTAATTTTTCTCCTCTATTTCCCCCTCTTTTTCTCCCTTTTTTTTTTCCTTTGTTGGGTAACTAACCTAAAAAGATAACATGTTCATAAAGTACCTCAAACCATTGTCAACCTCATCATTCCAATATCCTCAAAATACATCATCGAGCCATCACCTTACTCAACGCCCCTTCAAATTGTTGAACATTCCGAATCTAACCACGCATCCTTTTCATAAGTCTATCACTTCCATCTTAGTTTGAAGCTATGAAAATGATGCATGGTTAGATTAAGAACTTTGAAGGGGCTGAGTAAGGTGATGACTCGATGATGTATTTTGAGGATATTGAAATGATGAGGTTGACAATGGTTTGAGGTACTTTATGAACGAGTTATCTTTTCAGGTTAGTTACCCAACAGAGAAAAAAAAATTACGCAGACGAAAAAAAAGAAAAGAAAGGGAGAAAAAGAGAGGAGAAAAATTGGGATTTTCATCCCAAAGCGTTAAGGTAATGCTTCTAGTCCTTTCCATTAAATTTTTATGTGATTATGAATAGAATTTTAGGATAAAAATGTGTATAACTTATGCTAAATTAAGAAAATATAGGTCTAGGGTTCTTAGAACAAAATCTTGGTTTGGGGGTTAGAATAACGATTTGTTTTAGCTGAAATTTTGCATGCGAGTTTGTTTATCATGGGTAAACATAATCTGAAAGAAAATTTCAAATTCAAATTTGGTGGCTCGGAATGACTTTTTGACCCGATTTTCAATCCGAAACTAAATATAGTAATATGGGTGTCATTAGATTCGTATTCTTATGAGGATTATAGATTTGATAGATTGGAAGCACTTTGAAGCTTTATGAAAGGGGAAGACTCAAGTCCCGAAGTAATTGCTCGATTGTTTGAGGCAAGTGGATTTCTAAACCCTTGTTAAGTGTATAGAAATCGTGTATTTCCTTGTAGTATGTGTTTGGGAGTAATGAGACGTGGTGATGGGTTGACTTGTCCATATTGAATAATTTTAATCTATGAAAAAGGGGTAATAAAAGGCAATATGATTAATTTTTGGTATGTGATGTGTTGAGAATGATTTTGAAAGGCTTATTGATCCATTTATATGTTGTATCACAATTGTGTTGTTGTGAATTGTGCATTGTCTTGAAAATGGTCATCTCCTCATTATTTGTGTGAACATGTCATTTGCATTGGTTCTGAGACATGGTTGTGACAAGTGTTATGTGAATTGAGGAAAAATAAGAAACTAAAGAGTATGTACTATTTCGAGGACGTGTCGCATGCCGCGACGGATACTATGATTCGAGGGACGTGTCGCACGCTGTGGGGGATTCTATTATCGAGGGACGTGTCACACGCCGCGATGAATTTTACTACCGAGGGTCGTGTTGCACGCCGCGATGGATGCATGGACAGATATGTCCTCCATGGGCCCTGGACTAAGAGACAGCGAGTGTGTATCGTTAGGTCAAACATGCATCACTATACTTGGCATTGCATTTTATGTATTGCATATCTATATCATTTGTGAACTTGAGTGCCTTTTGTGGAACTTGTGATTGATGAACGTTACCCCGTGTGTTGTTGATATGTTATTATTAGAGTGTTGTTGTTGAACTATGTGCTATCTAAATTGTGAACTATTAGGTTGGATTGGTTTTTATGCAGGTTGTAGTTGTGGAGGTTTGGTTGGGGTGTAAGGAGTACTCGTATTCTACTCCCTTAGCTTGTGTTTAGAAGTTTACTTGTTTAGTACCTTGTGGTATGGTACTCACCCTTGCTTCTACATTTTTGTAGGTTACTAGCCCGGATCTTCGTGATACTCCCTTTCCTCTTCTTGTTTGAGGCTTCCTAAGGAGATTTGTGAGGTAGTTGTTTGTCATCTCAGCGGACCCTCTTACTCCTATTTATAATCTTGTTCTATTTTAGAGACAACATCATTTGAGACTTATGTTTTCTTTCAATCAAGTGTAATACATTAGAGGCTTGTGCACGTGACAACCAGGTTTTGGGGTATATTTAAGTTGATTACGAATTTCCGCATTATTTTATAGTATTGGACTTTTATTTCCACAATTTATCATAATGGTTGGGTTTTAGGCTGACTTGTCTTGGTGGGATAAGACGAGTACCATCACATCCTTTTTTGGGTCGTGACAGGTCACTCGTTCCTCGCTTGTTCGAAAGAGCTTCAAGTTGGATTCAACAATACATATGATATTCCATTCCAGCCTATACTAGCTCTTTGCTTGCTTGTAGAAAGAGCATGCCTGAGGAGATATTACGCTCACCGCGCACTTGCATTACAACCTGACCTCCGCTACCGCTCCGCCTAGCTCCTACGCCTACCACAAACTTGAATCATCATTTAGGCCCAAAAAAATTAGTGATTTTTTTCATTCAAAACAATATTCTTCTTCTTTGTACAAGATTTGTTGGACTCGAGTCAAGGGTCAGTTTGAAACATCTCTACCTCCACAATGTATTGGTAAAGTTTGCGTACACGCTACCATCCCCAAACCCACTTGTGGGATTCCACTGGGTATGTTGTTGTTAAAACAATATTGAAGATGATAAAAAAAAAAAGGTACAAAATTTATATATAAAAAGATAGAAAGAAAAAATATCTATGTTTACCAAAAATATTTTAGAACGCTGAAATTAAACTCCTCAAATCTTCATATTAATAAAGAGAAAACAGTCAAATGCATGCCCCGTCCCACAACCTATTAGCTAGTGACCAAGTACACACTTATACTTCACAATTACCCCCTGGACTACTTTAAATGGAATAAATAAACCCTTAAGTGTTGAGTTGGCACAGAGAATGCATTTCACTCTCTCAAAGAGAATGAGTTGCCTTTTTTCTTTTTATTTTAGAATTCTTCTCCTTCTCTTTTTCTTTTTCTTTCTCGTTATTTACCTAAACAACTATATCTCCTCCACCATTATCATTGTTGAAGCTTCATCCATGAATGTCTGGTATACAAATTACCAGCAATTGATGCATTTATGAACAAAATTCTTCAATAGACTTGTTTAGAACACATCTAATAATCAAATCCATTTTTAAAAGGCATACCCATTAATTGATTTTCCTCTTTCTAAGCCATTGACTCAAGAGTAACAACAACAAAGAGAAGAAGCAATGGGGTTGTTGTTTTTGAACTTATTAGAAGGAACTGAAATGGAAACAACTGCTACATGCAGAAGGTACTAGGTAGCCATAACTCACCATCATCCATATTTTTTGAAGAACCCACTAAGAATCAAAACCAAACTCATATTATAACATGTTCATGAATATTTTGGAGAGAGTAAGAATGAGGGGGTTTTAAAATTGACGTTACGAGTTCATTTTGCCTGCAGAGCCGAAGAGTTGCAATGGTGGCTTCTCTATTTGGAACTTGACACATGACGGCTCAGAGAAGATGGCAATAATTTTTATGGATAAAGTAGTGCATTAGATTTGATTCTGATTTGTTAGACACATGAATTTTGAGGTAAAACAAATGGTGTTTTATAGTGATTAGGGCTGAAATAATGATTGAAGAAGAAAGGAAGATGAAGGGGAAAAAAAGATGAACTGATGAAATACACACACGTGTCAAGCGTGTGTATTTCACCATAAAACACATGACTGATTATGACATTTTAGGGTGGAATCAATTTCACTTTAAAATGGTTCAAGAGGTACCCATGAATCATAGGTTTGTAGTTGGTATTGGCTAATAGGTTGGGAGGCAATTGACTATTTTCTCTATTAATAAATAAAGTTTTTACAACAACCTCCAAAGTAATGTATTGCAAACAAATGCCTAACATCTTGTTAACTAGAATTAATTCTTCTTTTTATAAATAATAATGTTATTATTTGAAGTCAAAGTAGTAGTGTACATTATTAATATCTAGAAAACCAGTATAAAATATTGATGGTACTAGGAAGGTATACCAATTCAAAATTAAGAAAACTTAAGCCAAGGAGTTTAAGGCAAGTGGGTAGATTGAATTAGTAGCACACCGATTTTAAAATTCATATAATGATGATTTTATCATTCTCAACAACTACCAATAATTTAAGAGCCGATAGAAAACAAAATAGCAAGTGCCTTAATATACTCTTCTTACAGGGGAGAAGCCTTTGGAAGCATTTCCCTCCTGATATGTTTTCTGGACTTTGACTTCTCACTTGGAAATTTAACAGATTTATGAATTGGGCACAGCATCACAAAGTTCTCCTGTAATTAAAGATGTAAACTTTAAGGGAAAATAAGAAGATGAAAACTTTACAATGCTCAATTTGATAAATATGTTAACTAGTTGTATTTACTTACCATATCCCATTGGCAATCCTGGATTTCAAATGCACAGGGCACATGATAACTCCTCCTGCAAGACGTCACGTAGCAGCCAAGTGCTGCACCCTTCATGCCACAACTACTACACTTGAGTTTTGCAGCTCTTGCCAACTCGGTGTCCAAATTCTTTATAATTTCTCCTTCATAATATACTTGAGGTGTCCTGTAACCAATGAAATTAAGTTCCGAAAAGGATCCAATCAAACCTAACTTACCTAAGTTTATTGACTAGCAAATAATTGTGGCGTTCACAAATAAAGCAGCACGCCAAAGGATCAACGGAAATATGATGTAATATAAGAATGAGATTATGCTTTAGCAGTGGAGATACAAGTTATGTAGTGAAACAGCCTATACGCGTTGCCTGATTAGCTCTATATGAGTTTAAGCCCTATCTGGATTATTCAAATTTGACTAAATTCACTACAAACACAGTTTCATAAGCACAACAGATTATGATGTTCGATTGTTACAACCAAAGGTTACTAAACACATTTGGATTGTGTTCTTGGTGCATCTGCAGGGAGGAAACTCATGCTCATATGTTCTTTGATAGCTCTTATTCCCAGCACATCTGGAAGACTCTACTACATTGTATGGGACTTAATAGGCAGATCGGATCATGGGAGGCTGAGGTAGGGTGGCTGTCAGTTAAGGTGAACAATAGAAGATCTATGAATGCTATCATGGGGTTTCTATTTGTAGCCACTGCTATCATCTCTGGTTAGATCAAAACAGTTGAGATTCAGTCAGAAAGCACATGAAAGCAAAGCTATCATTAGAGTCATAGTTCTACAGTTACATATAGTGGGTAAATGGACAAACTGTTTAGATAGGCTTAGTTGTTTTCCTTGTTTGTAGACTTGGTTCTGTTTTGTTTAGCTGACCAACTAACCATAGTTTCCTCTTGGTTATTTTTGAGGATCTAGCTCTAGTGTCCAATGAGCTAGTATGTGAATATTGACACTTTTATTAAATAAAAAGAATTCGTTAGACCAACAAAAGAAGGTTCCTTTTTTTCTCCAACTCCAATTGTCCATAACATCTATCCACAGCTAAATAATTCAAGCATAAAGATGAAGAGACATAATGCATTTAAAGTCCACTTGTTCCATCTCATCCTGTTATCCAACACCTACATAAAGAAATGAAGTGATTGCACAGGATAGAGCTGTCACTTAACTGCTACTTAAAGCTTCCCTTTATCAGTTGCGCAATTATCAAACATTATTATGTTTTTCGAAATGGCAAGTAATTATAAAACAAAAATATGTCTGGAATATCGAGCAAAGTGATTTTTTTTTTATGAAGAATATCAAGCAAAGTGATTTAAACCACCTACCATTCAATGCACTTACTGTGCACACATATGACTTTGGAAAGAGAAGTAGCATTACCCACAACTTCCCTTCCATTTGCAAAGTACAAAAACAGTCCAGTTTTCTGCAAATATTTGACAAAAAATGAAAAAGTTAGTATCAAGAATCGGTTACATATAGCAGAATATGTCCAGATAAACATGTGTGCAAATAAACAAAGGAGTGGATAACTTTCCAAATGATAGCAGTGGAGAGAGTATTAAGAAAAATATAAAGCAACACAATAATCGCAGCTGATAGCTTGAAGTTTCTCCTTTCATCTACAGTACTGATAAACTCACCTCTGTGGTCTTAGCAGAATGACAGAAAGCACAAACACTTCCTTTCGGAGGATGTTGATCTATAACTGCTTTTGGCTGAACAACATTAGGAGATTCACATATTTTATACTCCAAATTGCAGTTGGAATCAGCAACAATTTCTGAACTAGGACATCTTTGTAGAATATGACCATGACTTTCTAAGCTCATTTCTGACAAACCAGAATTTAGTTTCTTTTGCCGCTTAATATCCCTTTCATGAAATATGTCTTCACCCCCAACTATGCAGAGCATTTGACCTTTCACCACATATGAAGTATCCTGTACTGACTTCTTTGCTGCAATGTTCTCTATATTCTGGAAAGCAAGGATCAAATTTGTTTAAAGCGTCAAAAAAGAAGAAAATCATATAGGAGAGAACACTTGAACACTAACAAAAACTTTTGCAAGTTCCAATTTTTTCAATCTAACAAACCAATTAAAACTTATTATAACCCAAGAATCACAAAATCATTAGTTAGCAAGCATGCAACTGCTGTTCCATTGTTCAGTCTGGAATCACTAATATGGGGTCCTACTAAACTGTTTCTTTGTTTGAAAAATCGATGGTTTGTTACCTTTATTGATTGTTGCACTAAAATGACTTGCGTGAATCTGGTCAATGCCAAAAGTGAGGTTTTCTCTTGCTTTCAGTCATTGCATAAGATGATTTGTACTCAATTTGAGGCAATTAAAATCTTGAACTGATAACGGCACAGAATATATGGATAAAAAATTTGGTGCTTATCTGGAGTTCGAAGGGATAATCCATCAAACTAATTGCCCCTATACTAGTGTACAAAATGGGATTGTTGCAAAAGAAAAATAAGTATTTGTTAGAAGTGGCAAGGTCTCATATGTTTACAATGAATCTACCCAAAACCTACCAGAGATGCCATTCTAGTTGTTGCCTATCTTATCAATAAAATGCCATTTAAACCCTCAATTTTCAGAGTACCCTATAGGCTTTAAAAGGTGATAATAAATATATTGTTCCTCCAAAGATGTTTGGGTGTGCTTGCTTTGATCACACTAGAAATTCTGGGAAACTTGATCCTAGAGCCCTTAAGTGTGTCTTTATATTCTCCTATACATTAAGGGTACAAATGCTATCATTCCCCTCCAGGAGATCCTTTGTCATCATGGATGTTACCTTTAGACAGTTTGAGCCCTATTTCGCCATTACACCATCACCTCTTCAAATGGAGAGCAATAAGAAAGAAGAGATGATTCTCCCTAGTTCCACGGTTGAAACCTCTATTACAAGGGTAAGTGAAGTTGGAGAAAATATTCATATGAAGATTATTGGGCACTTGAATAGACTTGATTTGACAACTTACTCAAGGAGAAATAATAGAGCAGAAGAAGTCATTATGCAATATCTCGAAGCTGAATCCTCTTCTAGCAGAGAGTTATCTACGTTTTCTAATGAGTTAGAATTGCCTATTGCTCATAGAAAAGGAGTAAACTTGTACCAAACATCATTTATCTAATTTTGTCTCCTATAATTTCCCGTCTCCCTAGATGAAGCCTTTGCTTTTCCTATTTCCTAAGATTTTTTATTTCTCTCCCTACAGCCTTTGTGTTGTCTATTTCTTTTTTTTTATTTCCTAGAATTGGAGGGAAGCTTTTGTAAATCCTCAATGGAAGCAATCTATGATTGGAAAACTTAAGGCCTTGTCAAAAAATGAGACATGGGAACTTGTCAGGTCACCACCAGACAAGAAGTTGGTTGGGTACAAATGGGGCTTCACTGTGAAACATAAAGTTGATGGTTCAATTGAAATATTCAAAGCAAAAATAGTGGCTTGGCGATTCACTCAGACTTATGGAGTGGATTATGAAGAGACATTTGCTTTTTTGCTTAAATGAACATTATTAGAATTATTTCATCTTGTGTAGCTAATCTTGATTGGGACTTACAACAGTTTGATGTCAAGAATGCATTTCTTCAAGAAGACTTAGAAGAAGAGTTGTATAAGGAGATCCATCTTGGATTTGATATTGAACAAAGTCAAGGTATGCAGACTGAAAAAAACCTAGTAGATTTTGCAAAGCAATTATCTCCTTTGGTTACTAACAAAGCAATGTTTTTTTTAGATAAGGGTAACTTTGTATTCACAAACGAAATGCATCATCCAAGAAATGATGAATTGGAAATTACATCCCATAGTGTGATGGGCACACCCCCATAAGGGTAATCAGATTACAAGTTCCCTAAGAACTCAACTACTTCTACCACCTCCCCCACCAAATCTTGTTTACACAAAAAAAATAGAAGACTAATACAGTTTGTTTAATCCTCTAAAAAGTATTTTTTTGTCCTTCAAAGCACCTAGTGTTTCTTTCCTCCCATAGGGACCACCAGATACATGATGGATGAGCTTCCACCCTTCTTCCTTTTTACCTCTGCTTCCAACTCTTGACCAATTGTTCAGAAGCTCCAAAGTAGTCTTTGGCATCACCTAACTAACCCCCAAAATGCATAAAAACATATTCCACATACTGGCAGCTATTTGTCAGTGTATGAATAGATAGTTGTTCACTTCAGCTTTCTGTTCACACATAAAGCACCTTGAACAAATTTGCATGCCTCTTTTCTGTAGGGCATCATGAGTGAGACATTCCTTCTTGATTAGTAGCCAGACAAAACATGAGACTTTCAATGGATATTTAACCTTCCAAGGCAGTTTCCAGGGCCATCAATCAATCAGTGAGACATTATAGTTCATCTTCCAATAGCATGATTTCACTGTATAGACCCCTTTGTTGTGTATCTTCCATATTGACTTACCAGACCTCTGACTGAGAAATAATTAAGAACCCCTAATAACATAGCAGCCTCCTAAATTGCCCAATCATTGAATGCTCTCCTAAACAGTATATTCCACCCTATTGACTCCATACTTGTGCCACAGTATCATTGTTTTGTAGACTCAATGAATATAGGTGAGGTATTAGATTTCTCAAACTGTCCTCTCTCCTATCCATATTTCATTCCAGAACTCTGTCTTCATTCCATCCCCAACACTAATGCATATGTTGTTTCTGAAATGTGGCCATAGTCTTCGAATGGTCTTCCAGACACTACATCCAAATGTGCCCATAACCTCTTCAGTTGTTCACTGGTTAAGTAAACCATACTTTCCTACTATAAATCTCCTTCATAAGGCTCTATCTTCAGTACAGAATCTCCATAGCCATTTTTGGAGTAAACAATTGTTCTGGAGACTTGGGTTTTTTAGTCCTAAGCCTCTTTGGTTTCTGCTGAGTGTGAGAGTATCCCATTTCACCAAGTTTTAGCCTCTCTTTTCCCTATTGCCTTACCAAAGAAAAGATCTCCTCAGCCTCTTTATTTTCTTCTCAATGTTCTTGGGGACTGGAAATAGGCTCATCATACAAGTAGGCAATCCATCCAGTATTGACTTGATGAGGGTCACCCTACCACCTAGTGGCAAATACTGGTTTTTCCATCTGGCTAGTTTCTTCTCACATCTCTCCAACACCACATTCCGCACTTCCAGCTCTTTGTTCTTGGCACCCAAAGGTAGTCCCAGATACTTTGTTGGTAGTGTATCTATTTAGCAACCCAATGTCTCGCAGATTGTCAACTTGGTTGATAGGGAAGAGATGACTCTTCAACTAGTTGACATGGAGGCCTGAAATGACCTCAAAGATAGTGAGTATAGTCCTTATGTGTCTAATTTATGCCTCCTCTGCCTCACAGAATATAAGAGCATCATTAGCATAGAATAAGTGTGTGATCTCCAACTCCTCCCCTCTCCCAGCAAGTGCACTAAATCCTTTCACCCACTCATTAGTCTTTGCCTTCCTGAACATATGATTCAACCCCTCCATGGCTATTAAAAATAGGAAAGGGGACTTAGGGTCTCCCTGTCTAAGATCTTTCTCAAACTGGAAGAACCTTTCCGTGTTTCCGTTTATGAGAAGGAAAAATTTCACACTTGAGATGCAGTATTTGATCCAACCAATCCACTTGCTACCAAATCCCATGTCTTTTAGAATTTTTAGGAGGAAATTCCAATTGACATGGTCATAGCCTCATAGGCTTCTCAATGTCTAGCTTACATAGAATCCCTGGTTTCTTCTACTTTATCCTTGAGTCTACCAATTCATTAGTCAACAATGTTGCATCCATTATTTGCCTACCTCTCAGAAAAGCCATTTGGTGTGCATAAACCAATTTCCCTATCACTGTCTTCATTCTCTCATTCAGCAACTTAGAGATGATTTTATAGACTGCACTAACAAAGCAATGCTGATCACACTCTATTCATAAGAGTAAGGCATCAAAAGGATGAACTTACTCTTCTCTGGAGGAGGTAAACAAGTTCATTCCAACTCAAATTTTCCTAACTCTTCTGGCTGCAGTTCTCCTCTCTGAAAACCCCACAAATTTGTCCATGCTCATAGGCAAATGAGGTTTTTTGTTCTCCTTACTAGTTGTGCTTCTCAAGAAGTACCTTGGAGTTTCTCTCCTCTCTGCAGTTGGTGCAGAAGTAACTAATTTCCTAGCACTTTGGAACTTCTTAGGTTCTCTTTTTTTCCTAGAAGATTCAACTCTAACTCCCAAATTTTTTCTCATCCCCAGTGTCCCCACCCTTCTTCCTCTTCAATCTCTCATTCCTTCTAGCAGAGTACTCCTCGTAAGATCAGCCCTTTTTGAATAAAGGACTTCAATGGTACAATACTCTGGACGAGGTTCCCAATCTTCTACATTGTTGCTAGCCCTCTTATACAAGAATGGTATTGTATAAGAGTTTTCCGCTATATACAATATGGGAGATAATCATTATTTATACCTAACAGCATATCCTATAGAATATTTTCCTTACTCGAGTTTAGTTTTCTCTGTTTTTGGATCTATATACATATTCTCTGAAAATCCAACATGCCCCTCAAAATTGAAGTGAGAAAAACAACTTGATCTTATTTTGGAAACATAGAAAGCTGCCGCCAAAATCTCACTGGAATAGTCACAATCGCAACCACAAAAAAAGGCAACATTGCAACTTTTTCCTCTAGAAAGTAGTTGGTAACTGCACAGCTAAAGATAATCCTTTTACACATGCACATAAAAAGGAATGTGTTATTAGACGCCAAATAGAAGTGTGGTGCTGCAAATCTCCAGAACATCGTCAGTGTGGCTTAAAATTCGCAAATAATAACAAGAAACTCAATGTTTGGAGGAGAGTGTTGGTCGAGTATGGAGGAGGGCTTCGATTACTGTAGAGAGGGGCAGCGCTAGAATGGTTGTCGAAGAGAAAAGGAAGTTAATTATCAGAGAGAAAGACGGCACCAATCCCCAGAAAACTAAGAGAAAAGAAGGACAAATTTGGCAGGCAAACTGTGAAGGCAGAAGCTAGTTGAGAGATTATACCAAGATCATAAAGGCTCTCACACCAGGAAAAAAGAAGAGAACTTCTTAGTGACTTGATTGTTAATTAACGATGTCCAGATTCAAACATTGCTAAATTCATTGAAATTGAGCATGGAAAATTTCATAGATAATTCTATGGGATATGTTAAGATATTATTATGTACTTAATACGAGGAAAAAAAAAAGGAACAGGCATGGGGAAAGGAGGATATGACAAGTTATGCTAGGAAAAAGATGGGGGCGTTTGGTACTTTGGTAAAAGAAGGGAGATGGAGCTTCTGGAGGGGTTTGGAAAAACTTGTTTCCCTTTCTCTTAAGCTTTTTAGTTTGTTGTTGGTGAACTTACATGTTTTTACTTGCTATTTATCAATTTTCCAGTTCCCAATATGGCCATCCCACGTTGTTACCTTCTCAAAAATAATATGGCCATCCAACGATGAACCCATGTTTCTAATTTTGCTAGAAAGGTACCTCAATTTAGCTAGATTAGGAACAAAGATGTAGAATGTTAAGATAATATGTGTCCGAATCCGCATATGCCTATCTTCTTTGAACTTGAGTACAAGTTCAAAGAGCCTATATGAGCGGGTGTATATGGAGAGCTGATAAGGCCATCAAGAACATCTAGACAATGATACATGCTTACATTTTTTGGTGTATATGGATAGAAAGGAACATGAGATGTTCTGAAGGGGAGGCTTCGCTAGCTTTTTAGTTGGTCTAGTTTATATCCAGCTAGCAGTTCAGTAACTTCAGTTCAACTTCTGGACTTTATTAGCTCTTTAGTTTTGGCATAGTCTGTTTTTGTTAGTTGCCAGATTTTTTGTAAGCTTCAACGACATATCTGTAACTACTGCATCTTCTTGATGAAATCACTTCGTAAGAAAAGGAATATTATAGCATCCTCATTTTCTATTTTTATAAACGCTTACCTCATTAAACAACTTTCTTTTTTTGTTTAACAGCTTTTCAATATCAATATGGTCATCCCATGATGATCCTGTGTTTCTAGTTCTACTATAAAGGTACCTTGGTTAAGCTACATTAGGAACTTGCATTCAACATCTCATATAAATATGGTTAATAAGGCATCTCTTTTTAACATAGATCAGTTAATAAGGCAATTAATATGGAATGTAATCTGGAACTCTTATATAAGGAGTTATTTCTTGTATATTGTTAATCAAGAAAATAAGAATATTTCTCTTCTACTTCACGTAGCATCTATGATTTTGATAGAGTCACAAGTACCTCCCACCTGACGGTGGGTTATTCTACACCGCTTGGCCCCCAAATGATTTTCTTCTCTTTTTTTTTGTATTTCCGGTGACCAAATCCCCTACTCCCTCCAACGACAAACTACTCCTTTCTCTGACGACCAGCGCCTAGGATGTTCATAATTCAGTTTACCAAATTGAACCGAAAATTTTGAGATTGTTAGTCCATTGAACCGAAACCCCTCCCACACAAAGAACTTTATATTTTTTCATCTAAGCACCTAAATTGCACTTTCCACAAGAAGTCGTTTCTAATCAATTGGAGTAACATTGCATCAATTATATACACGAAACTGTAAACACATCGTTGCACAGACAAAACAACAACAATTGGAAAACCATTGCAGTTAAGGAGTAACAATGAGGGCAGGGATCGGGGAAAAGCTGAATCAGAAATTACATCAAACAGAAAAGATTACTTAGAGAATCTAAAGAGACGATGATTACCTTTCAGAGATTCTTGCCTGGATGGAAAAATTGAAGAGACAGAGAGAGGGAGAGAGGGAAAATTATATTACTATTTATTTCAGTAATAAAGTATTAGCGGCGCCCTTAAACCCTTAACCACAGCGTCACCTCCGAATAGGGCAGTGCGCCATTCGAATTTAATCGGAGCTTCAATGTGGGCTTTGGACAGCCGGTGGAAAACCAAAAAAAAACTTGTTTGCTCTCTCTTTTTATCCTCTTAAATGTTAGTCTCTCCGTCCATTCCTTTTATACCGTCAAACTATAAGAACTTCGACTAATATTTTAAGATATATTTTTTCATCATATTAATATGCAAAAAAATGCAATTTATAATATTTTTCATATAGTGTTTAAATATCTAAATTTTGTTTAAAATATCAAATTAATATAATCTAATTTAACTTTGAGAATTAGTCAAATTGACTTTTCGAGAAGTACAACATAACAATTAAAAGTGGATGGAGGAAGTATAATTGTGTAATACAACTAATGAAAATAGTTCTTTACTTAAAAATGGTGTAAATGTGTTTGGAGTTTGCTAATGGTATAATGATTAAATGCATAAATGTAGTTTTTAATTTGGTTTTAACTCGTCTAATTTTATGTGTGCACAAGTAAACATTTAAATTTGTACATAAAAGTCTCTTTGAGATATTCAATTAAATTAGAATGATACAAAGAAGATTAACACGGCCCTTGCGCAAGGATGACACACACAAATTGAGAAATGATTCAAATTTTTTATTTTAAAAAAAATTGAACAAGTAGCTAGATACATGCATCCTACGTGACATGATACACGTAAGACGTTATGTAGGACGCAAAACACATGTTTGTATTATGACTTTGCTAATTATTATAATCCCTTGAGTTTGGGGTTTGACGAAGTGTGCTAAGTTTAGAAAAATGGGAACATTTTTGTGTCCATCCTAAGAACATCCAAAATATTTTTTTTATAATTTAACAGAAAATTTTCAATATTTTGTAACTCATATGGTTCTTATGTTTGAATATTTGTGTGTTTCCATTACTCTTATATAATATTGAATAGACAAATCATATAAGTTAGCCAAATGCTCATTTGGTCCAGTTTAGCAATGCCCTCATGGATTTCAATAAAATGTAACAATATAGTGCGTAACCATGTGAAATAAAAAGCTTGAAGCAAATTCCCCCTCTAGTCTGTTGATTTTTCATATTCTAGCAATTTTACGATCATTATTGCATATTTTAAAGTTGCAAGTTACATGTATTGTCATTTGTTAATCCATGGCCATTAGTGATTTTTTGTCATATGTCAATCTTTGACTTTTCTCGATATACTTTTTTGGTGTACCTAATGGCTTTAACCCAATTTTTAGTACTAGTCTAAATAATTTTAGTACGAATCTTGCTAGATTTTGAAGATATTTGATCTTATGAGGGTTAGGTTTGCCTCTTGTATGCTACTTTGTAAGATCAATTAATAATGTATACTTTAGGAAAGTCATTTAACTCGTTGATTGTAGTTAAGTTTAAATTTTGTGTCCTGATATAAGATTGATTAACTTTCTTCAATTGGTTCTCCACTATCGAAGTTTAAGTTCTTTACACCTCTTGAATAACATATATCTTCTAGTTTCTAGTTTCTAGTTTCGTTGTTGCTTCTATTGTGTCATCGGGTCTTCTCAAGCTTGATTATCGCCTATCAAATGGTCGTGTCGTGCATGATCCTTAAGGAATCTCTTAGTTGCACGGGATGTTATCTCATCAAACTGATCTTCCACTACAAGAACTATTGGAAGCCTTTCATTATATTCATTTTTATTGTTTTCATTTTACTTTTTTTCAATTATTGCTTTTATATTTACAGTTGACTTTCAACTTGTTCCTCAAAATCTCATCTTTATTTAATATAATGTTCATTTGATCTATGAATTGTATGAAAATAGTTATATCGATAGAGATTGGAGATTGGTTCATACGCTATCCATAATTCTATACAAAAAGGGAAGGAGTGATATAGACCAAGTTAATTTTAATAATGAGTAAAAGGGAAATTCGAAATCAGCTATCTATATTGTAATAGTGACAAATAGCATAAAGATATTGTCTAATTCTTGGTAACAACATCAAAATTGGCAAGTATATAACATGTGTGTAGAATAAAGTTTACACTCGTCAAATATTGTATCAATTATATTATTGATCTCATAAATATTAGGTATTTATTATGTTGGTTATTAGTGATTGCTAATTAAGAAATCAATTGATTGAAGAAATATTTGTTATTTAGAAAGAAACAAGACAATGAATGAGAATGACTTATTTGATTTGAGCAATAAATTTCATAACAAATGTTTAAAGTGATTGATTGACAATTATAATCCTCTTCTACAATATAAACAACTCTTTCGATTATGTTTAACTATTACAATCTCACTAATTAATATAACTCTTCTGATTGTATGATTAGTGGTGATATTATAAGCTTAAGATATGAAAAATTGTTGAAATAGCTGTTTTCGATCAACTATATTCACTCATGACCATTACTAAACCAATTTGACCTCTTGTTTAAGATGAAAATGGACGAATCATGATTATTTGTATGTGAAAATAGAAGTTAGTGTAATACCCCGTACCTTCCAACACATATACGACTAAGTGAACTCAAAAAAAAATTGAATTCGAGATAGTAAAATGTGGTATTTGATGTTAAAGTCAAAAGTGGTCAAGTGCATATTAGTGTTAAGGTCTGGTAAAGAAACTAAAGATTGGGAAAATGGTGTAAAATAAGTGAGGTGCTTGCCTGACTAAATTATGCTAGTAGGTGACAAGTAGGTGTATCACCTACATAAGGTATATGGACCAAGTATGTGCATTACCTACTTAAGGTATATGGACCGAGTTAAAAAGACCAAGTATGTGCATCACCTACTTTGACTAATGGGTCATATGGAGGCCTACATTAAGTGATCAATTTGAGGCCCAATATGTCCAAGCCCACAAGAAATAATTTGAATGGAAAAGTAGGTGCATCACCTACTTAAATATGGCTTAAATTAAAGACAAATGGTGGCTGCAAATGAACTACACGAGAGGTGGCAAAAGAGAGTCTATTAAAACCAAAAAAGCTATTACAAATATATCATTTTCTCTCATCCAAGTTTTAAGTCTCTCAAGCTCATATATTCCTCTCTCTCGAGATGAAATAGCCACCCAAACATTCCATTTAGGGTTCTAAGTATTTTTCATCTTGTTTCTTCCAAAGCAACCACAAGATCACCTTCTCTCATCCATGGTTTCAAGTATATTGGAGAGTTATTCAAGGGGAGTGAAGTAGAGAGAGTTATAGGTGTTGGCAACAAAGGTATTGTCCCTCTCTTACAAAGATTAAGGTAAAACTTTCATGCTATAAGCTTGGGTTTTTTTCCTCATTTTCATGTGATGCTTATGTTGATTTTCCTCTCCTATTTTGTGGTTTATAAAAGGTTACAAACACAATAATTGATGGAGAATAACATATTAATACAACAAAGGTAAGGTGCTGCCACAACCTCTAACTATTAGTTCATTTGAGAATTCTAGACATACTTGTTTATTGGAATTCATGGGATGGTGATTGAAAGTCGTGAATTTAAGTCTTTTGATTGTCTGGGGTGTTGAGGACTGTATCATTGTATTGATTCATTTATGAGAGTTCGTGGATGGACTTAGAGTGATTTGGTATAGCTGTTACGGGACAGATTCATAGGTTGTGGCAATACACTATTAGAGTTGAAGTTTTTGTAAGCACATTGTCCGCCCCATATATATATATTGTCCCCTTCAAGATACATGTCACGCCCCGAGCTTACACCCTGGGCGGGACTGGCACTGGAAAATCATTACTGGCCCCAAGCGAACCCTTGGTCTGGCTTACTTACTCAGCGGAAGTCTTAAACACAAGAAATAGTCTCAAAGGATAACTCATGCAAATGTCTTTAAGAAATATTAAACTAAGCCAAAATGGCAACTCAAGTCTCAACCATTAAAACAGGAAATAGAAAACTCAAGAACTAACATCTGACTGTCTATGAAGCCGCTAAACAACTGAGATGGATGTCGGGACAAGACCCACGACATCCTAATGAAACTAAAACTACTAAAAGCAAAAAAGGGGATCCTCCGGAAGCAAGGAGGCTCACCAACAAGTCTAGAGCTCAACTAGAATCAACGATGCGCTGGATGTTGATCCTGGTTACCTGTATCTGCATCATTAAAAGATACAGGCCAAAGGCATCAGTACATTGAATATACGAGTATGCGAGGGGATTCTAAAACAAGACATAAGCTTGAAAGGAACTGAAGAACTTACCTGGCTCAATTCAACTCAACTTAACTGAACTCAATTCAATACAAAGTAGCATAAAACAAGTGCAATATAAAGAAAAGCTTTTTAAAACATGGATGTCAACTTTGTGTATTTGGAAATACAATAATACTCTGTGTGTATGCAAAGATACAATATAACTCTAAAATATATGTAAAAATACAATAAAACTTTGTATATAAGAATACAAATACTTCTATAGGAGTTTCTCTAACCGACAACCATCACGTAAGAGCTATTGTGATGATACAACATTTTGCCTTACGCGGCCATGGCCATCATATACCTTGCCGAGGGTATAGAACCTGACTACTAAGTGGATCCACTAGTCTATGCTAAAAAGCACTAAGGAATCATCTAAAAAGTATTACCTTTTTCTACCCATGATGGCTACATGGTTTATGGGGCTGTGAGTTGTCTGAACTCTCCCCCATATCGGTGCTCAATACTTCTCCCAAAATATGATACTAGCTCTTATGTTTAAAAATATACTTCTTTCTGTGATTTGAGATAATTGTTCAAAAACTTAGCTCAAGGGCTATATTGGAAATCAAACATTCTTCTCTTCCTTAATTGTGAAAGCGTTTACTCTTTT